GGGGGGGGGGGCAACCCTGGGCGCTGCCCGTGGCCACCGCGGTGATGCCCCCCCCCCCCCCGGCCATGCCCGCAACCTCTTGACGAACCAACAAACAACACAACACCCATACCCATAGGGGGGTCGGAAAGGGCTATGGGTGCGTGTTGTCGGATGGGGGTCCCCGCTCGAACGGGAGCGTTCCCTAGGGTCCGACAACCCGCACCCCTACCCATAGCCAGTCCTCCTTCCAACGACCCCCTTATGGGTATGGGTGTGTGTTGTTCGTTCGTCACTCTCTGACCTTCCAGGGGGGCTTGTCAGGAATAGCACCGGGACCTAGCTGCCCACATTCCAGTCGATAGCTTCGGCAGCCCAGATGGGTCTGTGGGTCTGGAGTGCTATTTGCTAGCGCTCTGGAAGGTCAGGGCTCTCCCTCCCCCCTTCCCGGCCTCTCCTCCCCCCTCCCCCAGGTTCAAGATCTGGGCCTCCCAGATGGGGTCGGAGTGGATGGGCTCGGAGGATCGCGCCACATCACCGATGCATCGACGATGCGGCTCGATGCGGAGCCCGACTTTCTCCACGCCAACGTCGCCGATGCGTCGCCGACGTCTCCGATGCATCGCCGATGCATTGGCGACGCATCGCCGATGTATCGCCGATGCGGCGCGAACCTCCGACCCCATCTACTCTCGGGCCGAACGAAAGGAGGGGATAGGGAAAGGGGGGGTTACGAATTCTGCTGCATGCAGCTGGTTTCGGCCCCGCCGCCGAAACCTCCCCCTTTGCTATCCCCCCTTTCGCCCGACCCCATCCACTGGGACCCGGAGGCCTCCTCCTCCTCCTCCTCCTCCTCCTCCTCCTCCTTCTCCTCCTCCACCTCCACCCAGACCCCATCCATAGGAGGCCTCTGCACGCGCCTTGGGCTCCGGCGCATACCCCGCGGGGGCTTCGGGCCAGGGCCCTCCCGCGGGGGCTCCGGCCGCGCCCCCCGGGGCCCTCGGGAGCCATTCCCTTTCGAGGCAGGGGGCCGCTGGCTCCTCCTCCTCCTCCTCTCTCCCCTCCTTTTCTCTCCTCCTCCCCCTCCTCCTCCTCCTCCTCCTCCCCCTCCTCCTCCTCCTCCTCCTCCTCCTCCTCCTCCTCCTCCTCCTCCTCCTCGACTTCGATTCTCCGGGGCCGCAGTCCCCGAGGAGGTTGCGGGACGTCTGGGGTCGTTCGCGGGCGGCTCTGGACCCATACAAGATCTTGTCGTTCAGAAACCAGGACGGGGGGGGTCTTGGGCCATTTGTCGGCCCCTGGGGGTCCTCGCTGGGCCCCGGGGCCGTCCCGTCAAAAACCCGGGGAACGAACGGGCTGGGACTTCGGGGACGCCGTCCTGAAAAAATCGGGACGTCGCATTGCTGGGCTGGGCTCTGGGGCCCCCGTGTCCTCAAGAAGATGGAGCCTCCTTGAGGCATCGACGAGGAAAAAACGCCATAAACGTAAACTTTTGGCGCCCCGCGCGGATTTCTTTGATCCGCGGTGTGCCCCCCTGGCGGCGCCTCCGGCGCCGCCCCTGGCGCGCGGAGCGCGCCAGGGAGGGGGTTCCGGCGCAGATCCAAGTAATCCGCGCAGAGCGCTACAAGTTTATGTTTATGGTGTTTTGCCTGCTTCCAAGGAAATCGGGACCCCCCCAGTGGTGGTCCCTCTTCGTGTCCCTCAGAATTTTCAAAATTAGTCAAAAACTAGTCTGGGGACGATTTTTCCACTACTTTGAACTTTCGCTGGGGGCATTTTAAGTTTTTTATCCAAAATCAGCCTGTAGGGGGGACACGCCCGACCAAAGGGAAGGAGTGCGGCGCGAGGTGGAAACAGGTGTGGCCCCTGGCAGCGGACACCGCCAGGTCGAGCCGCAGTGCTCGGCACGAGAGGTTCGGGGCGTGCCGCGCCGCGCTCCGCAGCCGCCGCTCGTGCGGGCGGGGGTCTCTGGAGGCCCGTCGCGGAAAGGCGGGCAGGCGGACTGGAGACGGCAGCGCCAGGATTGCGTCGGGCCTGTCCCCCTACAGGGGGAATGCCCAACAATAGTCAAAAGAGTCTGAGGACGACATTTAAATGACTGTTGAATCTGTTTGAGCATTTTGGGGGTATCTTTGATTTCTCGTCCAAAATCCGCCTGTAGGGGGACATGCCCGACCGAACGCCAGATGGGGCGCTCCAGAATCCGAATAAGAATACAGCAAATGAATATCATTCTCATAGTCCGAACGACAAGACGGTGCATGAAAATGTTGCGTGGGCACAGCAGCGCACGAACACACCTTTCCGAGAGAACCCGTCGCCCTCGGCGCGTTTTGCCTCCGTCGAAAGGTAGTTGAAGGCGGCGGCAAGTCCGCGGGCGGAAGGCGGCGGAAGGCTGGCGGAAATCAGCGGAAGCAAGCGAGACACGTTAGCATGTTTGGGCCCGGGGATCCCGAAGTCGGCCAGATGCTTCCAAGCGTTGCCGACAAGTCACGGAGTCACGGCGGACATATTTTACGCAGATGGGGTACGATTTATTATTTGACGGATTGACTCGGTGCGGGCTCTGGGATGTTTTGCATGTTCGCGGCGGTTCCTGGCGTTACCGACCCTTGCGGGTCAAGAAGCCTTCCAGTGACCCGACCCATATGGTCAAATCCGGCCTATACGGGGGTGGCGTTTGTCAAGGAATGTGCCTGGGTAGCTTCAGACCTTGGAGGATTCTTCATCTGATGCGTGCGGCGGTGATACCCCGTGCCATACCTCAATTGGAGTGCCATTGTTTTCCAGCCCGTAGATTCCTTAACCAATGATTCCCCGTCCAAGGCCCCGTCGGTAGGTCGCCAGTGCAATAGAATCTCGCACGACGTGGTTCCACAGGGGTCCCATCTCACAGCGTCCCTTCCGAAAGGGTCCCGCCCAGTAGCGCCCAACACGACTCGCGGAATCCCATTGATTTGCACGCGGCCTTCCCTCCGTGGAGAGCGTCTGGGGGTTCTCCAACGTACCCGCTGGATAATTTCGGGCTTCATCGGACGGAAATGTCCTGGGCCGTCAGGGTGCTGCCCGGAACAACACCTTCGCACACACACACACAGACACACACACACACACACACACACACCCACCCACCCACGCACGCACGCACGCACGCACGCACGCACGCACGCACGCACGCACGCACGCACGCACGCACGCACGCACGCACGCACGCACCCACACACACACACACACACACACACACACACACACACACACACACACACACACACACACACACACACCCACACACGCACGCACGCACGCACGCACGCACGCACGCACGCACGCACGCACGCACGCACGCACGCACGCACGCACGCACGCACGCACGCACGCACGCACAACACACACACACCACACACACCACACACCACACCACACACACATGTCACGGCACACGCACCACGCACACACGCACACGCACACGCACACGCACACGCACACGCACACGCACACGCACACGCACACGCACACGCACACGCACACGCACACGCACACGCACACGCACACGCACACGCACGCGCACACGCACACGCACACAAAAGTGTTCGGGCATTCGGGCACCCCGCCACGCGCACACGGGACATCCAGAGATTCTGAGGACGTGGTTCGAGGACGGGGGCTGCTCCATCGTTGGTCCTAGTGATTCGCTCGTGCGTCGACTGGTCGCGGATATCGGTGACTGCGCGGCTGGTTCTGATGAATTTCTAGGCCTGATGAAGACTGGGCTCAGCCGAAGCTGTGGTTGCCAGGTTACTGGGTCGGTACGGGGTTTTGCTTCTTCTGGTTGCGTGAACGCATGGGTCGTGGTTGCGGCGCGAAGGCGTGGAAAGAAATGGCTCGCAGCTTGATGGGCCTTGCGAAGGGAGGCTGAACGTGAAATGCATATCCTCATGTGCGATTCAATGTGATGTAATGCGATGGCGCGCAGCATGGCATGATATGGCTTGATATTCCGTCGCTGAGATGTTTATTGCTCTTCCAGACACCGCTTGTTGACCTGGTAAGAATTTCCCGGCGTGGTGTATGTCTGAGTTTCTGTATGTTCCAGCATGTATGTTTGGATTAGGTGTTTTCTGTCAGTTTGGTGGTTACTTGTAGACAAGGGCTGTCAAAACGTACGGGCATTACCAGACGTGCTACGATGTATTTCTAAGCAGCGGATGTGCGTTGTCTTGGACCCCATTGAGTTGAACGGCGTATGCGTAACATCGGCCGCACAACTACCTGCAACATGCGTAACATGCGTATCCGTAATATCGGCCACATGATTGGGGCCGGCAAAATTGGAGTCGTGGCCCGCGTGTGAGATCATAACGGTGGGATGAAGAGGTGGTGGAGGACGAGGAGGAATACTAGGCAGGGAGGCGTGGCAGAGACACGTGGCACAATTCCCTCTCAAGTTTCGGCGAGGCGTGGCATGTGAAACACTCCTCGGTCTCGTCTCGTGGTGTTTTTCTTCGCCACCGTGGAGGAGGGGGGGGGGAATACGAAGAGTCATGGCCCAGAAGGCCATTCCATGTGACATGCTGCTCTCCCAGCCTGCACATGGGCGTACCGTCTGGAACGCTCTTCCGTCTCACTTCGGGGTCCCACCTCGTCGTTTTGCAGGGAGGCGCAGCAAGTGAAACACTCTCCCGTCTCGTTTCGGGGTGCCCTTCCTCGTCGTCGTCGACTTCTGGGGGCCCGTAGGGGGCCCGGGGAGGCCGAAAGCTGCTAACAAAACAACTGGCTTCCTGCAGCCTTTGTTCTGGTGATTGACCGCATCCTGGGCCGAATCCCCCCCAGGAAGGCGCACACAGCGCCCAGGACTGGCCTGGCCAAGATCGGCGTCGGTGTGCACTTGCGTCACCGCATCCCCAGAGGAAGAAAGATAGCGCGCCAGAGCGCTGCCAGGGGACCGCCAGGAGGCGTCGGAAGTTTCTTTTCATGCCGTCTTTTCTTCATCGAGTCCCCTCGCGCGCATACAAGATGGCCAGCAGGTGGCTCCCGGCGCTGCCGGGCCACAGGTCTACTTGCACGAGATGCAGCGCCTCGCGACGCTGCTCAACGAGGCGCCGGAGAACGACCCGAGCCGCTTCGGCCCGGTGCGCGGGGATTTGGCGGGCGTTGTTGCGCTTTATACGCTCGCTCAATTTGTTCGACTGGACGGGCACGGGGAGGAGGTGAGGAGAGGAGGAGGAGGAAGAGGAGGAGGACGAGGAGGAGGATAAGACGCTGCTTGGCGCCGGGAGCGCCAGAAGGGCTCGCCGCACAATAGAGGAGGAGGATGAGATGTGGTAGGGGGAGTAGATGGAATGAGAGGTGGAGGTGAGGATGAGGAGGAGGAAAAAAAAGAGAGAGAAGACAGAGATATAGATGAGTATGAGAGGAGAGGCAAGTAGAGGGGAGTAGGAGGAGAGTAAAAAAAAAGAGTAGGAGAGAGGAGGAGGAGGAAGAAAGAAGAAGAGAAGACGGAACAAGGAGATAGGGAGGAGAAGTAGAAAATGGAGGAGGAGAAGGGAGGAAAAAAATAGGAGGAGGAGGACAACAACAGGAGAAGACCCGCAGCACCGCACCCTCGGCGCCGCGCGTCCCGCCGAGCACTCCTCCTTTTACTTTCGCCTCCCAGGCGTCAACCTTCCGTGTTTTCCTTTTTCCCTGCCTCCTCCTCCTCCCCTCCACTCCCTCCTCCTCCTCCACCTCCACCTCCTCCTCCTTCTCCACCTCCCTCCTCCTCCTCCTCCTCCTCCTCCTCCTCGCCTCTTCCGTACTTGGTGCAGGCTGTCGGCCGTGCTGAGAGGTACGCGATCAGGGAGGGGGTCCACGGTTTCCCTGACCACCAGTGCTTCGTCACTGACCTGCTGGCGCTCGCCCAGGAAGGAGAGCGTTGGTGTTCCGAGCTCGAGCAGGGTCGTGCCAAGCATGTTCGAGCGTGGTGGGACATCTTCGTGGCCAGCCGCAGGCGCATTCAGCGGGACCTTCCCAAGTTCCGGTGGACGCCAGCGCACATGTCCTTGGAGGAGCTTATGGGCACAGAGCCGCAGGAGCTGCGTGACTGGCTAGGCAACGGCTGGGCAGACTATTTCGCGCGCTGCGGTGCGGCCTCTCATGCACTGGCCGGGTCGGTAGCTGAGGCGGTAACAGCTGCGCTGAAGCAGCACCGCAAGGTCCTGCAGTTCATTTCGTGGGGGCACTTCAGGTGGTGGCTCGCTTGCGAGCGTGGAGGTCCCCAGGCCAGGCCCATTGTGGTGGAACGCAGTACGGACTATGTCCTTGCTTACTGCGCCAGCCTCGGGCGGTCACAATGCGGAGTCACGGCCACAACGGGCTCCTCCCTCGAGTCGTTGCAAACTGGCTCTCGTCGTGTATGTCGCCCTTCGCGCGTTGCCAGTGCTCTCACAGCCGAGTACTTCCGCGCATTCGGCGAGGGCTGGGTTCTCTGCAGCGACCAGAGGGCTGGCATGGCCCTGGGCGCGGCCTTGGCACTTGAAGGGAGCTCACAGCCTTCGGCCCCCGCAGCCTTGTTGCCACCGGCCTTGGCAGAGGGCACAACGTGTTCAGGGGCAACAGTGTTCACTGTTGCAGGCGCTGCGGGTCTCACTTCGCTGCGGGGGATGCCCGCGCAGTGCAGAAGCTTGGCTTGAGGTGCGAGGGGCTCTCGCCCAACGAGTCCACGCGCCGCAACCAGCAAGGTGCGAACAGGCGTGTCGGGAGGGGCCTGGCGCCTCGTGCCCGACGCACCCCTGCAGCGCCGCCCCCGCAGGGGGGCTCCTCTTGCAGCCACGCGGCGCGTTGATCGACCATGTCGTGATTCGCTGCCGTGCCGTGTTCGGCTGGTGGCACGGCGTCTTCTTCGGTGGCGACGCCTCCTTCGCAGGAAGTGTCCGGTTCGGGCCGGTTCGGGCCGGTTCGGCGGCGGACCGGTTCGGTTGCAGCGGTTCGATTTCGGCGCCGGTCCGGTTTTGGTCGGTCCGGTTTTGCCAGTCCGGGTCGGTTATGCCGAATCTGTTTCGGGCGTACGCGGACGTCCAGTTTTTGGGGCCCGTTTTGCGAGGAGAGAGGAGGTGAGAGAAGGAGTGGGAGAGAGTTTAAGGTGTCAGAGCGAGGTGCCAGAGCGCGGAGGCGAGAGCTCGCGGCCCCAAGGCGTCCGCCTTCCGAGTGCTCGCTTCAGGTCGATGGGGGGTCGTCGACCAACGTCGTCGTCGTCGTCGTCGACGTCCGCGTCGTCGTCCGCCGTCGTCGTCCGTCGCGCCTCGTCGTCGTCTCGGGCCCCCCGACCTTCTGCCCAATTCCCCCATCCGCACATCCCCCTCTTCCCCTCGTCTCCGCGGCCCCGGGGCCGGAAAACGCGGGCCTCCGGGGGCCCGGAGAGGGCGGGGTTCGGCCGCCTGGAGCTGCTTTGCCGCCTGGAGGAGGATCGAGGAGGAGGAGGAGAAGAGGAGGAGGAGGGAGGAGGGGGTCCTCGCCTCCCCCCCCCGCGCCCTGCTGCACCGCCGAGGGGGGTGCCGCGCCGGGGGGGGGGGTGGGGGGGTGGGGCCGGCACCGAGGGGGGTCGCAACGGGTGCCGGCACCGGGGAGGGTGCCGGCACTGGGGGGGGGGTCCGGCAAACCGGGAGGGGGGGGGGGGGGGCCGCACCGGGGGTGCCGGCGCCGGGGCTCTTCTGGGGGCTTAAGCCGGTGGGGAGCCCCGGGGCCCGGTTCGGTTCCACCCGGTTCGGGCTTGCCGTTCGGGCCGGTTTCGACCGGCCGGTTCGGCTCGAACCGCCCGGTCCGGTTTCAGCCGGTCCGGTTCGGGCTCCGGTTCGGGCGGTTCGGTTGCAGGAGCCGCCGGTTCACGGTTGCCAGTTCGGTTCGGACTCTTCTTGCCTTCGTCGGCGGCAAGTTGGCCTGCGTCGACGCGCCCTTGACCCTCTTCCTCTGCGAGTGGGTCTTCCTCCACGCTTTCTTCAACCTTGCCCTCTCCGCCATCGTGGCGCGAGGGCGCCTCGGCGTAGTCCGTCGGGCGCGCGCCAGCGCGGCCGGCGGGGCACGCTCGAGAGGCGCTGCGCTCCTTCTCCTTCCCCTTCTCCTTCTCCCTCTCCTGGCCCCGCGAGGCGGAGCGGCGCGCGTCATCAGTTTGCAAAGGGTGGCGCTCGAGTAGGGGATCGACTGCAACGTTGATTTATGGAAGACTGAGAAACGCCATTAAAGATATAATGGGTCCGGAGTGTCCTGGGTAATTCCGCCCCGCATTGCGAGGTGAATTTCGGGCTGATTTGGCCAGGAATGAAGACTGAAGAAAGTCCACGCGAAATTAACTTCGCTTGTCACTTGCCGTTCCGGGGTTTTGCGTTCGCAGAGATCCGCGCAAACATCCGCTGCATCACGTCTTCAAGGTCGGCGCAGCGACGCGCGTCATCGGGTCGCAAGGCATGGCGTTCGAGTAGGGGGTCGACTGCAACATTGATTTACCCCGGAATTGGTCCTTTCGTTGAATCTGCAGGGAAAGGCTCATAATGCTCAGTCGACGTGTGGGAATTCGACGTGTTCGTCGTAGATTCGATGGGGGCGTTAATTTTGGGGCACATGGCTCGAGGCATGGCGTGCCGCAGGGGCCGCCGCCGCGACGCGCGGAGCAGAAGTCTCTGGCCGCATTCCGTTTGGGGAAGCAGCGAAGAAGTGTTGCGGTGCCGAGTTGGGTGGATCTGCTATTGTTCGGGGGTGGACAGACCTCCTACCCTGACACGTCGACTAAGGAATTGGCCGTTTTCGTTCGGCGAGAGGGCGTCGCGGCCGTCATCTTGGCGGGTCCAGTTCCGCCGGTTTCGGCCCCAGGCTGCTTTCACTAAGGGGAGGTCTACTGAAGGGAGGACTGAGTAGCGTGGACAATTTGCATCGTGGCATTTGCATGCGAGTGTGGGCGCGTTGGGGGCCTCGCCGAGGCTGCGTGCGACTTCGTGGGCGCCAGGAAAGTGAACCTGAAGACCCCTGGGGGCCTTTTGGTCTTGTTGGTTGCAGTTTTGGTATCTTGGGGCCGTTTCGGGAATCTTTAGAGCCGCTTTTAATCGCAGCGGCGTGCGCTGGGGTGGTGCCAGACCGTCTTGAGACCACCTAAGGCGGTGGTGTGCAATATTGGGCGTGTCTTGCGGCCTTCGGGGAAGTCTGTTTAAAGATTGTGAAGACGCTTGGAGCGGCCAAACGTCACTCCTGTGAGCCTTCTTGATGGAGTTGGTGCATGCATGGTGATACCTGGCGTTTTTTTCTTCAAAACATGTAACTGCTCATGTCCCGATCAATATGTGAAGCCTACTGTTTGGGAATCGTTTTTTCGGGGTGGTCAGTTTGGGCCGACGTGGGTAGTCTTGGGGCCGCCTGGGGGGCACCTTGGCGCTCCGCCTTGAGGTGCACGTTGTCCCTTGGCGGGTTTGGGGAAAACGGGGGGGGGGGGAGGGGGGGGGCTGGCTGGTCTTGGGCCGTCAAGAGTTCCTCGGGATGCTGCCGTCTGGGGCTAGGGCTGAGGCGTTTGAGGAGAATGCGAATTTGGGCCATCCCAGCCCTCCCCACACAATACGACGCGACGCATTCTTGGCGTTGAAGCGCGGGTCCAGCCCTCATTGACACTGCGCCCGCGCCCTGACGGACGCTCGCGTTCCTCGCACTTCGCGACCCACGGGGGGAAACCATCTACGGCACCAGCGGGCACATTCACATGTGGAAGCCTGCTCGTGCTCGCGTTCTCCTCGCGCACATGCACTTTTCCTTCCGCTGGCCAGTCGACATAACCTGGGAGATCGGCAGCACGGGGCGCAAGTTGTGGTGGATGCCACGAGGCGTTGCAGGTGCGGGGCTGGCACGAAGAATACCCGACGGAATGGGGGGGCGGGCGAAGCCGCGGCGTGCACGCGCGCAGGGGTGCTTCGATCCAGGGCCCAGAGAGGCCACGCGAGAAGAGCTGCGCGCACACACAAATGCACACACACAAACACACAAACACAGCACACACCACACAACGCACGACACACAACACACGACACACACACACACGACACACGACACACAACACACAACACATGACACACGACACAACACACAACACACACAACACACGACACACGCACAACACACAT